TTAAATAAACAAACAAACAAATAAATAAATAAGATATAATAAGAAATAAGAGGGGGGCGATGATAACTTCCTCAATGGCTCAAGGGGGCGTTTCTTTCAAAAAGATTAAGAACCACTGGTCTAGAGGGGCGGGGTAAAAATCAAATAAATAAATAAATAAAATAAAATAAAATAAAGCCTTTTCCCAGCTGTGAAAGCCTTTGAGAATATATTAACTAGCAGCTGTTACTCGTTATACCAGTTTTGTTCCTACTTTTTTTTTTAACGTTTGAGATCTGACTTTATGGCATCCTTGTTAGCCTGAAAAAGTACTAACTCGTGGTTAGCTGGAGAGGTCTGCGGTTGAGTGAGCCCTGGCTGCGAAGCCAGAGGTTGGGAGCTGGGTTCCCCCCCCCCTGGGCCTCCAGGACAAGGGCTGGACTGGATGGCCCCCAGGGTCCCTTCCAGGCCGGCAGTTCTAAGATGATTCCAAGGTTTTTTTTACTTTCAAACTGTGGTTTGCACAGCTTGAAAAGTTTGTCTTAGAGATGCCATTGGAAGCTAGAGGGTATAATTCTGCTGGTTCAGGAAACGGGTCCCAGTTCATCTTTTGGTGCTGGAGCCTGATCCTGGACTGATCCTGGTCCATGTGGGTGGGAGAGAGAGCTATGAGAGCGGATGAAGCCCCTCTTTCCCTGTGCAGGTGTTTCAGAGTGAGGAGCCCCTCCAAAAGGGGCTTCCTGCTGAGGACAGTGGAGGCCACTTGAGATTGACGTGTCAGACGGGGTGCATTCTGGCCTCTGCCGGCCATGGTCTCTTATCCAAAGCCTGTCCTTCCTAAAGAGCTGCTTTCTATAAAATTGTTGTGTTGTACCTGCAACCAGGAAAGTCAAGAAGAACAAGACCTTATTTATCATTGCCTAAGCTGTAACTGCTCGGATGCTACCCTGCATCTATAACTATTACTTGGTCTGTTGCATGTTGTGTGGCTCCTATGAGCTTTAGGTGGAGTTCTGGGATTTAGGGATTGTTATGAGGGTGTGTGTTTGGTCTGGTCTCTTTGTGAATTTCGTTGGATTTGTATATACAGTACATTCAATGACAATAAATTTACACTGAAATTCCTCTTTCCCAACTTAACATCTAAGAAAGATGTGCCCTGGAGAAATCCATCGTGCCACAAACTTTTGGACTTCTGAGTTCTTTGACCGGACGATGGAGTCTTGATCCATGAAAGCGCACGTCTTGCGTGATGATTTTTTCCCCTTCTCCGTCCTTTAGAAACAAGAGCTTTTTTTCCCCGGTGTGCTAGCCACTGCTCCATCAGATGTTCACACACACCGCCACCATGTAACTCAATCTCTCCTCCTTTTTCTTTCTCAGAAACCCACATTCACTACGCACAGTTGGGGACTGATGTGACATTACTTTGCGGGTCCGTGGATCAGGATGCGGCCGTCACCTGGACGGCAAACAGCACTGACCTGGATGCGTCTCATCTCAACGGTTCACGCCTGGTCCTGCGAAACGTGGACCTCTCCCACAGCGGCCAGTACACCTGCTACGAGGGACCTTCGTGGCACGTCAAGTACCGGGTCAATCTCAGAGTGGGATGTAAGTACACACCGCCGGGAAATTAACTCAGGCTGGCCTTCCCTGCTGGGTGCTGGGAGCTGGTCTCTGTTTGGCATTTGCAAGGAAAAGGTGTGGCTGAGCATTGAGGCGGAGGGGGCTTTATCTCTCTATTGCTGTTAATCGATTCTTGGCTTTGTCTGCCCTGCCTTTCTTTAAATGGTTTTCAAGTGAAAACATAAATAAAAATAACCACAAAGTAATTCACAAACTAAAAGAACAGTTCAATTCATATACCGTAGAGCAGTTAACATGGAAGCCGTCCAGAGGTAAGAAATAACGTTGGCTTAAAGCTGGGTGAAAGAGACCATCTTGAGGTGTGGAAATCACTCCCACCCTGGCAACCTCACCGTAATCGGCATGATGCACGCCAAACTTAATGTTATTAAGAATCAAAGCCAATGTTCTGAAACCTGCTGGGGAGGAAAGGGAAAAGGAGGGGGAAATGGAAATGTTATGAGCAGGGAGGGGGCGTCTTTCATTTCAGATTGTTCTCTAGGGGATTTTACCAAAATCCGCAAATCTCTTCATTTCCAAAATGGGGAAAAAATTACAAGTGTGGCTGAGCATTGAGGCGGAGGGGGCTTTATCTCTCTATTGCTGTTAATCGATTCTTGGCTTTGTCTGCCCTGCCTTTCTTTAAATGGTTTTCAAGTGAAAACATAAATAAAAATAACCACAAAGTAATTCACAAACTAAAAGAACAGTTCAATTCATATACCGTAGAGCAGTTAACATGGAAGCCGTCCAGAGGTAAGAAATAACGTTGGCTTAAAGCTGGGTGAAAGAGACCATCTTGAGGTGTGGAAATCACTCCCACCCTGGCAACCTCACCGTAATCGGCATGATGCACGCCAAACTTAATGTTATTAAGAATCAAAGCCAATGTTCTGAAACCTGCTGGGGAGGAAAGGGAAAAGGAGGGGGAAATGGAAATGTTATGAGCAGGGAGGGGGCGTCTTGCATTTCAGATTGTTCTCTAGGAGATTTTACCAAAATCCACAAATCTCTTCGTTTCCAAAATGGGGAAAAATTACAATAATGGGGAGGGGGCAGCAACAAAATTTGGAGGCGGCGCATCAAGCAAAGGAGCAGCCGCCTGAGTCGGTGAGCTGTGCATCGAGGACGTGGCGGAGGGCAGAAAGTCAATTTGACAGCTTAACCCATGACCGGAGGGAAGGGTAGGTGCAGAGGAACCCTGTGCCAGAAATGGAATGTCAATAATACAAAAACAGAGCAGAATATTGCCTTTATCAAGTCAGACTTTGAGCCTTGAGTTTTCCTCAAGGCGGGACCTCGTGGCCCTTGGTCATCAGAGGGGGGGGGAGCAGGGAACACCCAGATTCTTTCTGCAGAGAGGTGGCTCACGTTCTGAATGGGGACTGCAAGCATGGGGGGGCGGGTAGCAGGCAGTACATCCAGGGGTATAAAATCACTCACCTGCCTCCATCTGTGTAGCATTTCTCCAAGGATGGCGTGGAGGGAGGAGCACTGGATTACCCGTTTGGTCTATGGACCAGGCAGCTGAATTTCTTTTTAAAGTATCAGTACTGTATGTTTCCTAAGTGTATTGGGGGTGGGGTGTGTGTGGAGAGAGGTTTAAAGGGGAAACAGAGAAAAATCCCTCTCTTCTTCCCAATTCGCGATTTTCATTAGTTTTGTGTTCTACAGCTTGGGGGGGCGGGGGGAGAGAGAGATTGCTTTAGCAGGCACGTATATCCTCTCCAGGAATGCAGCTTCGTTGTCATTTTTAAAATCAATGTAATCCGATAATTTATAGCCCACCATTACCAAAGTATCCCTTAAGGTGCTTCCTGCAGCATCTCTCCTTATTCCGCTGGCCTCTTACACCTTCTATCATTTCACCAATCCTCCAGGGACTGTCCAAGTTTGGAGGCAGCTAGCTTCACCAGCCAGCGTTGCTGGATGCCATGGAAAACTAAACTGTCACACACACACCCCACACCCCCATATCGTGTTACCGAGTTCATGGATAATTTTGACCTTGCTGGAAGGCTTGCTCCTCCTTCTGCTTTTCTGGGCGATTTTCCGTGTGCAAGAGAAAAGCCTGCAAGGATTCTTGACTCAAACGGCGGCATACGTCCTCGCCTCGGAAAGGGCAGCACAATGCTCTCCACAAAGGTGTAGGGGAGGAATCTGAGTAACCCCCGGCTGCTTGGAGGGGGAAGAGGAGGGCCCAGCGTGGATTCCCCTGACATGGAGGGCTTTCTTTCTGAAAAGTCAAGACATTGTCTGTCTCACCAGCAAATTCATTTCTGTCTGGAAATTCCCTGTAGAACTTCATGTTTCACATGCAATGTGAAAATCTTATTACAGAAATGTATTCCATGTGGGACTTTCATAATTCCATGCCTCGGATATATCCCTCCTTCTTGCATCTGTGGGCTTTGGGGGTGTGGGTGGTTGTAAAGGAGGTGGGGCCCCAGACCTCAGGAACAAGGAGAGCAACGGGTTTCTGCCAGTCCAGAAAGCTGGTCCAAAACACGTTGCTTCAAAGGACTCACCCTTGTAAGCTCGGGAGTGTATGAAATGAAGTTGAAGGGACCGCTTGGAGGGAAGCCAAGGGTCACCCCAGCAGTGATGGTGGCGAATGAAATTGGATCTAGGACCCACTGCCTTGTCTTTCTGGCAGTCCAGAGTATCCACCACCACATATCAAACAAACAAAAAAATCTTTACCAGTCATCTTTCTTTGCTGCCCTGCCTTCACATCCGTGCATGGTGATCGGTCATAACAAGTGTCTGGAGGATCTTGGCCTTGATTTCGAGTGACACCTCCTTACCCTTGAGGATCTGTTCCAATTCCAGTTCATTGCAGCCCTTAACGAATCTCAGCCTATTTCCGATTCCTTGGCTGCACTTTCCATTTGCGTTGATGGTTGAGTCAAAGTAGACAAACTCTCTCTATTTCAGTTGTTATCAATGGTGTTTAGAGGCTGCAAAGGGAACAATCCATCCACCTGCTGATGGAAGGGGGCAGCCTCAGGTGTTCTGCACAGGGCTGTCCTTCCTCCCCAGGGAGAAGGAAGCACAAAACAGGTGTAATCAGCAGGGATCCAATAGTGTGGCCAGACATCCCTTTCCCAAGCATTCTTCCCACCCCTCCACAGATACCTGAATGTTACATGGCCCAGGCTTAAGCAACAGGGCAACAAAGCCCTCAGTGGCCTCATGGCTAGTTAGAGCTCTGGGTGTCAGGGTTCGACAGAAGAGGCACCAGGACCCAGTCCAGAGCAAGACCACAGGAACGAGGTAGAGCCAACCCCCACAGCCCAAGCAGAGACCAACCAGCTAAGGCTTTGAGTCCAGACAGCAGCCGAGTAGAAGGATGATGCAAATGATGGTCAGACAGTCCAGGGGTCAAAACCAGGAGGAACCGTATCATGGCAGCCTGGTCCAGGGATGCAAGAGAGGCAAGGCAGGAACAACAGCCCAACCGGAGACCTTCATTGCCGAGGCCAAGGTCTGCGGGGAAGGCCTGTTCTTCTATAGCCCAGTCCTCAGCTTCCACAGGTGGCCCTCCTGAGGAGCTAGGCAGCAGCTGCAGGGAAAGGGCCCAGTCCTACAATCCCTAGAGCAGGTCTCCCCAGAGGGAGGGGGCCGATCCTGCTTGCACTAAGGTTACAGGGTTCCGGCATGGCCCCAGTCCTGACACTGGGTTTACAAGCTTTTCCTTTGGCACACCCCACACACACCCTTTTTTCAGTTCTGGGGCTTGGCTTCCATCGCCCTGTGGTAGAATCTACCTCATCCTCCTCTTCTGCCACGTGCCTAGGGCTGTGTGATGCCAGCCTCTTAGGAGGCTGCAAACCTCTCTCCACAGAGCCGCCATCTTGGTTTCTGCCAGTTCAGACTCCAGTTCAGGACACGTGGCACCGTCCCTCCGCTCCATTTCTTGCCTGGCCGTGGCCGAAGACCAAGGAGGCAGTGGGGCGTGAGGCAGCAGACGGGCGGAGAGGATGAATTCGCATCCCCTGCTTGTCCTTTGCCACCTGGATGACCGGCTCCGGCTGCCTCTTGATCAACCCAGAACCACAACAGACCGAAGGAGAGCCTTCGGTCTGTTGGTTGGCAAGCAGGAGACCAGCTGAGTTCTCCAGCTGTCCTTGGAATAAGCCAGGGGCATTTGTGTGCCAAGACAACCCAACTGTGAGGGACGGGTCTTCTCTGCTTCTGGTTAGGGGGTCATCTTCCCTGCTTCATCCTCCCTCTGAGAATGCCAGCCGCAGTGTCTCTTTTTCTGCTAAGCTCCACCACCCTCAAAAAAAACCTCTTTTATTAACAAGCCTGAGGCAGGAGGAGAGAAAACACAGCGTATGAGTGGGAATCCCACTGGTTCTCATTAGGGCAAGGTTTATCCAGATCTCATCCCAAGAGCCGCCTAGAACCAGGGTGTGCGTGCGTGCACGCCTTCAGAAGTCTTCATGTACAAGCTTCGAGAGGGAACGTCCGTACAACAAACCTCCTAGTGGTGGTGATGCAATTAAGGATGCCCAGCGCTGATCAGGTGAGGTGGTTTCAGGGTAATTAATTTAATTGGCAGAATTTTAATTGAACGCCCTCCCTCGCCTGCCCGTGATGAATAGCTCTGCCACACTGTGAGGCACGCCACGTAGCCGAAGGGGGCCAAGACCGCTTGGGACAATCAAGGCTGGGGCCGAGAGTGAGGACCCTGGACATGGAAACCTCTCTCCCGCCCGTGTTTGCTACCTGGGGCCTGCTGGGATCCAACTCTGCGCCTCATGAGTAGGACAGAGTAAGAGGGATACAAGTGGCAATGACAAGGAAGGGCACAGGCAAGAAAAGGCAGTGTGCCGGATCCGGAGCGGCTCAGGGACCACACGTGCAAAAGCAGATCCCCTTGAGGTGTCTGTGGGTGAGGGGGGCGGCTTCTGAGAATCCAGAAGACCATTTCACCCCATAAGAAGTTGGCAAGCTTCACCCATCCTCCCAGCTCTTCA